GACTAATGTCTGCCTGTTCTCCTCTGGAGTTACAGACTCAAGCCATGACCAGGTTTAAATCCTTTCCTTACAGGACAACAAAATCTGATTATGAAAAGGCATGATGTCTTTGAAGAGGAGTGGAAAGGGAAAAGCTTGATTCCTCTTACCCATGCTAACACTGAGTCAGCAAACCACGAGGCTAAAGGAAATTCCTGCAGGATAAATACTGATAAGGAATGGCCTTTTTCACCTCTATCGTGTGGGCAAGGCTCCCATCTCAAACACTTCATGTGTGTGCAGGACAAGGCAAATCCAGCTGCGCTTGGAACTCACTTCACTGCCCACCTCAAGTGAGAGAGTTCTGGCTTTGTCCCTTGTGGCACCCTCGGTGGCCTGAGGGACTTCTGCTTATCTTTGCTGAAACTGTGATTATTCTTACAGAGGAGTGAACCTGCACAATGTTTTTAAAGCCTGTGCTCAAGTAAATAAATAAAAGATGCTTTTGCCCACAGAACCTCTCCTGCAGCACCACTGCAGCGCTGCTGGGCTCCCCATAGCATATCGCCCAATAAAGGAGTCTCAGCAAAAATACCGGAATGGTATGGCACCAAAAGCTGTGGCAAGGGAATCAAAACAGTCGCCCGTTCTCGTCCCTCTGATGTCGCGGGTGTCGCTAGAGGTGCTGAGTGAATCCCGCGGCAGCAGGTGGCAGTGCGAGCCTGACATCCGTTCCCTCGGCTGAGTAATGTGTGGTTGCTTCCCCTGCTGCAGCCCTGAGCACCGAGCTCTTGGGAAATATACTTACTTTCCATATTTTGCAGTCAGGTACCCACTGCACAGACACCCGATCATCCCACCCACGCAGTACATAGACACGATGATGGACCACAACAGTGTGAGGGTCTCCTGGTGCAGCACAGAACCGTATCGCTCCAGCCACGTCTCGTTGATGAACTTCTGAATGTACTGCGACAGAAAAGGAGATTCCCATTCCACTGAGGCACTAGTCACAATAGTTCTTCACAGCGTTTGCAACTTAAAAAACTAGATTCATAGTCATTACTGAAAGCATGGCCATGGGACACTTGTTTGCAAATCAGGACTGATATTTCCTCTCATACAGCCTAATAGTGTAAGAGAATCTTTTGAAAATTAATGATGCTCTCCCATGTGTTGAATCCTGACTCTCCTACACAAAAAAATTAGGTCCTTTTATTCATTATAGATAACTGTAGGTAGCAGATATAAAGAGAAAAGGGCTGAGCTGAATGTTGAGATTCCATCAGCTAGTTTTTAATCTTTTTTTCTCCATGACATAAATTTTATAGAGATCGTTGCAATATCTTGTTTCAACACAGTTCCATGGGAAGTTGTCTTTGGAGCACAGTTCCTAGGAATCATGCAAACTCATTTTGTCCTTTGACAGTGACAGTATGGCATTGGAAAGCACTGGGAATAAACTGACATAGCAACACCTAGCAGCTTTTGTGGGCATCTTCAAAGTGTAGGGCCTAGTCCCATGAGGGATGGTTAGAAATGTGATTTTATGAAGGCCTCACTTACCGGAGAAGTATAGTTGATGACAGACATCTGAAAACCAGAGAGGTGAGTTCCACCAATTCCCAGCACCAAAATCATTAGCAACAGCTTCCGGTACTGAACCTGTCAAAGATAATCATAGAATTATAGAATCATAGAATAGAATCAACCAGGTTGGAAGAGACCTCAAAGATCATTGAGTCCAACCCTACTGTGGTGACTGGCCTATGGCACCAAGTGCCACATCCAGTCTCATCTTGAAAACCTCCAGGGATGGTGAATCCACCACCTCCCTGGGGAGCCCATTCCAATGCCTGATCATTCTCTCTGTAAAAAATCTCTTCCCAATATCCAGCCTAAACCTCCCCTGGCAGAGCTTGAGTCTATGCTCTCTTGTCCTACTGCTGGTTGCCGGGGAGAAGAGATCAACCCCCACCTGACTCCGACCTCCTTTTTGCAGAGGAGGATAAGTTGTGGAGGGCGATAAGGATAATGAAACACATCCTAAGTTCCTGACACTAGCATGGCTTTCAGACCATGGAATAATTTATGGGATCGTATATATTCATATTTTTACTGTCAAGAAACCTTTAAAATGTTTAAAACCTTTAAAACCATTTAAAACGGGCTTTTGAATTTTTCAATAATCAAGCAAAATTCCTGGAAAATTGTCAAGATGCAAATCTGCAAATTTTGCTATGTTCCTCTCCTGGTCATTAGCAGCCTGAAAAGAGGCAATGTCCAATTCTGTTAGCTCTGCTAACCACAGAAACAAAAAACTTGAATCATAAAAGCCTTGTTCAGATAGTTTGTGTTGGTTTTGGTATTAGAAATAGCTATGACTTTCTTGAATCCATTTTTTCCTTCAATTTTGCCTCCTCAGGGTCATTGTTTTCATTATCTGTCCTCTTAAAACACTTTGCTTTTATGTTTCGCTTTTGTTAAGTCCATAGGAAATGGTGTTTTTAGAGTCCCTACATGAAGGACTCCTGCTTGAAATGCTGTGTTTCCATGAAGTACACTGGATTTTAGAGCATTCCTCACAAGCACATACTTTTTCAGGCATCTGGTCAGACCACACTCTAAACAGATGAGTACCCTCAAATATCCTTGTGAGTGCAGGGCAGCAGAGTGGAGTGGGAGGTTTTTTTCTGTTTTGTCTTTTTCACTGCTACTATTTTCTTCTCAGAATGTCCATTCTTTCCTAGTTTCCCAGGTCCTCTTTTAAAGCTCTCACTCTTTTGTAATTCTGATTCATTTTCTGCAGGTGCCATATGTAGTCAGTCTTACTGCTGACCCAGTGCAGTCCCAAGCACATGCTATGTTGCTGATTTTTGTTACAAGAAAAACTGTTTCCTTCCCTTTGCTGTAAGCTTTAAAGACCATGCTGCTCTTAGTGACTAGGGCTAGAAAATAACTTGGATACTCACCAGGTCTGAGAGGAAACCAGGCATTTTCCCTCGAAACCTGCCTGCTCTGAGAGCCCTTGTTAAGTCTGTCAGAGGAGAGAGATGGTTTCCACACTGAGACTGTAAAAGGTTGGGAACACAGCACAGAAGTTAAATTCTAACTATGTGGCTTTTAGGAAATTGTGTCCTCCTCTGACACTGGCCAGGGCCTCTTCTTGCTGGTTTAATTATTCCAAGACCCAGATATGACAAGCTGATTACAACATTGGTAAATGTTTATCCTTGTTGTATTGGGAGTGCTCCCCCTTACTCACACTGTGAAAACACCTGCACGTTCCTGTTGTGTGAGGAGCCAGACAGTGCTATCATCTTCCTTCAGGGAGCCTAGAGTGGCTCTTATTTACTTTCCTAAAGAAGAGGACAGGGCAAGTCTTTTCACTTAGGATTTGAACACTATGAGAAATGTGCTTATTCCAGACCCACTACAGAACTGAGCTCACCCACTACCTTTGGTTTGGAGGGATTTTGTTTTCAAAGATGCCCTGTGTTGTACTTGTGTGATCCTGGATCCTACACTTCAGATTCACAAGTACTTCTTTAACCTTTATTCCCAGTCCATGCTAGTTTATGGCAGTGTTAATGATTTACCACACTTTCCCTCTGCTGGACAGTATTTACTAGTATTAGGGAAGAGTCAAAGTGTATTGGACAAGATCATACTGCATAAACACTTGTATAAGGAAACAAGTTTCTAATGCCTTGTAAGACAGTAAAAACTTCCTCACTGGGAACCAGTAAGGTTGAGAAAGACCAGGCCAAATGAAGACTTCTAAAATAATCAATGTCTTGGGGACAGTGTGAAGACAAAATAGCAGGAGCCTCAGGGCTGTGAAAGAAACTGCAGCTCAATATTCAGGTCCTTTTGCAAATTTTATTGTGCAACATCTGCATCAGTCAGTACTGAAGATCTCATTTCCAGAACAAACAGACACAATATTCCTTGACCTCAACAACCCAGTCCCAGTCCCAGTCCCTGACTCTTCATTCAGTGAAAACCAAATCCAGGCATGATCAGTAGGGTGTGTTTTCCTAGTCACTGCTTTTTATTTCCTTATCAGTAAACTGCAAAGCATGAAGAAGACCAAAAATGTGTCATGTCATACAACAATGAATACAAAAAGTGAAGCCCTTTATACCATGTGTTATAATGAAAATATGGAGTATTCAGAGACCTGGAGAGAGAAGCAAACACTCAGACATACAGATTGGGTTCTCCAGGAAAAGCACCACTATTTTTTGGCTCATCAGTACCAGTTACTGTCAGGAGCTCAATCCCATTGAAACTCAGTGTTCTCCAGGCTGAAGACATGCTAGATAGTCACTGCTAATGGAGAATGAGAATCTGCCCTCTGTGGATTTGTCCAGTCATGATTTCCTGCAGCTCTGCTTTCTTTGCTCATGCTTTTGTTCAGTGCTGACATATCTCTGTGTTTTCCAGTGGAGGAATCCCTAAAATCAGAAGCAGGAGAAACATTGTGTAGTGATTGTCTATTCAGAGGCACAGAGCTCTTCTTCCACTGGATTAAGGAGCTAACACTTCATTTCTGAAACTGAAGCTTCTTCTCTGGGAAGACTCAGCAGCACTGCCTTGTTAATAGCAGCAGATAATTTCAATGTGAAAATTCTGTCTTCTCTTTTTTTCTCAGTTTCACAAGTCTGCTACACCTCTGGAGCTTCCACACTCTCTTCTTCAACAATTGTGGAGTGCTGGTTTTGCCAAGAAAAATAGCAGATGTTGTGTTTTCAGTTTACAAAACTGATAAATTGGAGGGACTGACAAAGCTCTTACTTCTTTATACACTTCGATTATTTTCTTCAGAGGAATTAACTCAGCTCCTGTTTCAGCAGCTGGAGACAACCACCAAGTTCATCCTGCACTCTGCACTGCAGGTGATTAGTTTTAAAATACACATTTGTGCTGTTTGTGGAGAAATGGGTTCTCCCTTGCTCAGTGAGGCTTCTGGGCACCGCAGTAATAAAGGAGCAAAATATGAAGTGGAGAGTTTGTTATTAAAGTCTAGTAACAGTTGTCACTGAGCAGTTACTCTGCTGCAGGACTGACTGTCCCTTCTTTCCACGGTAGTTCAGGCGTTTGAACTCCTCCATGACCTGCAGCATGGTCTTGCCTTTGGTCTCTGGCAGCACCAGGAAGACAAAGACAGCCATGGATGCACAGTATGTCAGGAAAATAATGAAGCAGAAACTACCAAGGCCTTTCTGTAGGAAAAGAAAGAGACAACACGTGTTCATTAAAATTTATCTCAGTTTCTTTCTCTTGTGATTACAGAATTTCTGGGTTTGCATTTACTAAAAAACTTGATGGGGGACTCAGCTGATATAAATCCTGCTTGCTGCCACCTGGGGAATGGCACTGAGTGGTAAGATGAACTAATTCACCTTTCCTGTTTTAAGGAGGAAAGTTGTATGCTCAGCAGAGACTGAATGTCATTGCTTGACAATTTGGAGAAGTGCTGAGCTTCAGTTACTTATCCTTTCTGCTCTGTCCTCAGTCAGGGCTGAACAGGGGAAGGAATGTAGTATGTTGCCTCTGTCCCTCCTTGCATGGTCCCAAACTGTAAAGATTTTGTTTTCCATCTCCTTGCTAATGCTGGCTGAGATCTCTGGGACTGCCCATTTTCCACATTAACCCCGAAGAGGAGACACATACAGGACAAGGGGGAAAAAAAGGGAACCCCTCATGACATTCAAAAGATTTCTGACGGTATTGGCACTTCTGTGATAACTTCTGTGTTTGCCAGTGTCACACTCTAACCTTGTGCAGAGTTAGCAGCATTTTGTGTGTTTGCTACACTTCCACTAGATATCTGGGTAAAAAGAAAGAGGCCATCAGAACTGCAACTATTTTGGGCTCTGTCCTTTGCATGAGGCATTGAAAAGAGAAGCATGCTCTGGGTTCAAGAAACATCTAAGCTCTTCTGATCTGGAACAAAACACCCTATTTTGCTTACCACAATGAAAGGGAACAGAAGTCCAAGCATGAAGAGTTGGATCCAGTTTGTAACACCATTAAAAACATAAGCAGCTGGTCTGTATGACTGAATAAATATTTCTGTGAGCAAGGGGCATAATACTCCAGCTGAAAAAAAATGTTGGAAAAAAAAAGAAACTTAGAAATTTTACAGGGTGCTTCTGTACATCATACTTCATATTGCCACATAAGTTCATGGCTTTAACTAACCTGGCAGTGTTTGAGGTGCTGCTTGGCTCTTCAGGAGGAAAACATGTAGGAATGCAATGGGAAATGACATTTTACCTCTGATGATAGTATGGAGGGGAACATCTACACCTGCACTGAATCAGGAGTAGGGATTCACACTAACTGTGGAACAGCTATCCCTGAGACCTCTCCTTAAAAGCACAGTGGGGAAGGAATGACTGCATGAAACTGTTCCAGTAGGAAATACCAACCTGGTCCAATGCCGAAGCTCATGATGAAAATAAAGATAAGTGCAACAGAGCAGTATGGTACCCAGAAAAAGGAATCCTATGGTAGGAATTGAAAAGCAAATAAAATCAGAAATTAAAATTTTTTTATCCAGTTCCATTAGAAACATTCGTCACTGCAAAGTATGTCCATGTTAAACATGTATCTATTTCCTCTTCTTCCAGAAACTTCAGGAGGAGAGAGTCTTGGCAGTGGCCTTGGCTGTGTAAATCTATTGTCTTTAATCTGTATGTACATTTCTGGAAATAGACCTCGGTTAATATGATGGTTAGTCTCAAAAATACTTCTTTTCAGAGTAAAAAGTGATTTGGGAGGACAGAAATAGTAACAATGTCTGCCATCCAATACAACGTGAAGACAGTTCTGATGCATCACTGGGGTCTTACCTGTAGTGAGAGAGTGACTGTGAGGAGTCCTAAAGCCAAGGCCATCACAGTGTAGTTTTTCCACAGCAGTGACTTTCTCCCTGCACGCTCAATGAGGAAACCCTGCAAGCAGGAGAACATGCTGCCAGCTCCAAAGGACAGACCTTAAAGGCAGGCACTGGGGAGAGGATTCAGTACCTGCCTTCAGTGGCCAGACAGGAGGTCACTGAGGGGTTGGGAACTGGGATGTGCTACCTCCTGTGGGAGGGTGAGTAAAGGCCAGGAGCTGCAGGGATGAGGGGGAGGTGGAGAGGTGCAGGTCTGCAGGGAGCATAGGCCAAGCAAAGGAGGTCAGAGGTGGCACTGCAGGCAAAGGAGAGCTGGGGGGAGAGCAGCATGGGAATGGTCGCACTGTTAACTACCATAATTCCTGCAACTGTGAGTCCTACTGACAAGTGTCATTTTCCCTTCCTCCAGTGGTGAACTGGGACTCTCCAGGCTGGCCCTGGTTGGGTCGTGATTTGAGGGAAAGACTCTCATGTCTTCCCAAGTGAATATAAATGCCTGTATTTGGAGAGGGTGTGAAGGTGGTTTTGTGTGATCAGTTTTACAGTTGATTTGTTGCAAAGGTTTGATGCCAAAAACTCCATTTACAGTATGTCCAAAGATTAAAATGAACCATGCATGACAGCAGAGCAAAATTCAGCTGAACTTACACACAGAACTGTGGAGAGGATCTCAGTGAGCCCAAGCCCCAGCGAGACATAGTGGATTTGAGCAGGAAGGATTCCAGCCGTTGTAAAGATATTGTAAGCATAAAAGTAAACCTGGAAGGAATAGAAATTTGTGAAAGCTGACCACATGTGGTCATATTTACACTGGCTTCTGTCTTTTTGGATAGAAAACAACTAATCAGGCCTTAACAAAATAGAAAATCATCTTCTTGATCCCAGTAACCAATCCTCAATGTTTTCACAAGGCTGATTTGTGCAGAACAGATCTTTTTAGCAGCTGTCTTGAGCTCAGTAACAAACACAGGCTTTTTCTTCCTTTGTTTTTGCTTGCATTTAGCACTGCCTTTGTCTTATGTTACAGGTTGTAATTTCATCTGGCATCTTTCACCGTATTTTAGTGTCTCATGTACTTCAGATGAGGAGCATACAGAAATGTGGACAGTACATACTAAGCAAATGGTTTAAACTATCTTTCTACATTATATTTAAGCCTTTTCAGGTATTTTGATAGTCATAGTTTTCCAGAGGTAAGCACTCCTAAAAGCGTAAGAAATTCCACTGTCAGTAAGTTCAAATTCTACTGTTCCCTTGTGGTAACAGTAAGTGCTGTGCTAGTGGGGCTAGAAAGAGGTCGATGAATCTTGAAGTTTCTATGAATTTGCAAAATTAATCTGGATTTTGGAACTTAAATGCTTTTACTGTAAGCTCATTTTATACAATATCTATTCAGATACTCAATACTATCTACAGAAACAGAAATATCTCTATTTCTACAGAAAAGGTATATTAGAGAGTATGTATATCAGTAACTGTCAGGTATGTTACTGGGATGTTGTAACTGTGTATAATCTGAGAATGTGCCAAGTTAAAGGATTTGGAAAGGAACCCAAAGAGGTAAGAGCATGGAAATGCAAACCTGACTCAGTTTGTACTGAAATGGCTGAACAGTTTTGGGCAGTGCGTTCTGGAGTTCAGAGACACAGAGGAGGTTATGCTGTTCTTTGCTTGTTCTGTATTTGGGATTTTATTTGATCCCCTTCCATTCTCTTATCCTAACAGGGTAATCCATAGAGATGCCTTCAGATGACACTTGCTAAAACGCAGTTCTCAATTTATCCCAGGTCCCAAACTTCCATGGGAAAAGATTGTAATGAACAGCAGCAACAGATCCCTCCTTAAGAGATACTGTTGCAATCAGCGTTTCACAACTTGTTGCAGAGCTTAATTTTGCCAAGAAACTGTCAGCAATCTAGAGAGCAGAGCAAAGCAGCACACGTACCACATTGGCCCCGGCTAACTGCATGCATGAGACGAGAAGGAAGAGAGTGATGAGCTGCCAACGCACAGCTCGGTCACGAAGCAGATCACAAACACTCTTAGCCTTCTCCCCACGGATGGCTTCTGCCTCTGACATCATGTCATCTATTTCAGCCATGTGGTCTCCATCTCCCCAGAGCTGCTTCACAGCTGGAAGGAGAAGAGGAGAGATGAGTCTTGGTCCAAGCTCACCAGCACAGACATGAAGTCAGAGGATTATTTCTTGCTTTGCAGAGTGTCTTATTTGAACTTCATGCAGTTTTCTTGTGTGAACTTCCTAGAGGTCTGGGCTCAGGTTAGACACAGATCCATAACATTGCTATCTATTTTTACCCAAAAATTTTAATCACGACCTC